TTGAACAGATTTATATTTAGCTCTTTACAGAAGAAGTTTCCTGGCCCTTGTCCTAGAGGGCGGTGATAGTTGGAGGTACCGACCTTTATAGCACACAACGTAAATATGAAGCTACATAGCACACTTCAGTTATGCCTGGCATCGACTTGACACCATCCGTCCTGAATTCTTCTAAACTTAATTCTGTTTCAGCGTATACATAGGATCATATCTGAGAAATGCAGAGGCAGACACATTTATATTTTTATTGAATTCCATTCCTCTCTCATTTTCAAAAGAGAAGCTCATGGGTGTTTTTTTTTTTTAAATTCTGATTGGCACTATAAACTTTATTTATGCTTTAATGTACCCTAAAGTATGTGTCCTGCACTTTTTTTTTACTTCCCTTACAGATGCTGATATGCTATACATTACCAAGTCCAAATGGATTTTCAAAATCCAATTTCCTTGCTACAGTTTTCCATTTCTCTGTTGACTTTTTATGTTTGACTCAAATCAGAGCATCTGGGGCCTTTGCCACATTTTGACCTGAGCCTGTCCAGAAGAGCCCCTCCCTCTGAGTGCAAAGAAGTCGTGCACTGTCACTAGCTGGTAGCTGCACTGATCTGTCCCTCTCGTCACTAAACCACGATGGCCCCGTGTGTGCCATAGAGCTGTACTCTGGACAGTGACTGATTATTCTGGAAGTAGGTCACCGTCCCTCTGGTGCAAATAACCAGGTCGTGGGCTCAAAACTCCAGCTTCTCAGTTAAGCAGCCAAACACATGAGCCATTTGCATCAGCCACATAAGTTTCCTCACAGGCCACATGGGGGTCACCCTGAGCTGTAATTGACCCGTGACTACTGGTATTGGATGATAAACCGGAACGTTGGGTCTCAAGGTGAACCCTGGGTCTGAAATGGGAATGTGTTGGTAAGGTTCTGCCCTCCCCAAATGATGATGCTGATGTTGATGTCAGTTGAACAAGGCCATGTACTCTGTGTTAATTAATGAAGTGAGCACCCATGTGAGACCGTTAGGGTAATGGGCTTAGAATGAAAGAGGGCACTTCTCTTGGTTAAAATCTACTGTCTGCTCTGTGGAAGGAAGATGGACAGACTCCTCCCAGATGATTTACAGCTTCTGAGAACTCGCTGGAGGGTCAGCTATGAAACAATAGAGTTGAATTCTCCAAGCCTAAGTCTCTACCAAGTAGCCCGCATGAACCCTTGCAGTGACGGCCTGGGGCCTTGTCATTCAACTCTTATGACCCTTGGAAATAAGATCAAGAGAGATGTGCGTTAAAAAAAAAAAAAAAAGCAAGAGGTCCTGAAATGAGACTTGAAGTCTTGGACTGCTAGCCTCCTGAACTTATTAAGAAATAAGTTTATTATTTTTTTGAGAAAATAGTATTAGAGAATTGAGCAAACCTTATTGAGAAAATAAGCTTCTGTTCCTTGAAACAGTCCATGTGTATTATGACTGTTGAAACAGCTGTCAGACACTAAGAGAGTGCTCCACAGTGTCGCTGTGAACAGGGAGCAGATTCCCTAGTTCTTAGAGGGGTTATTTGGGCCCTGTGAGGAATGATAGAGCCAGCCATTGGGCAGGGATAGGAAGATGTGGGAGGGGGCAACAGATTAGAGGCAAAGTGTTAGGTGACCTTGCCTCAGACCTGTCAACTGGGATGTCCAGGAATGGCACTGTAGGCTCTTCTAAATCTTGTTTAGAACGTGGCAGAGAATACATTTAATTAAGCCTTTAATGGAAATAATGATTTATCCTTTGAGCTTCAGCACATCCTCATAAAAGTGATTTTTAGATTTCGATCTGTTGTTCATAGGGTCGCTAGGAGTCGGAGTCGACAGGGCAGCATCTAACAACAATTCAAGAATATGTTTAAATTGTTGTCTTTCGTTTTATGCGCTGACCTCTTTGGGGGTATGGGCCACAGCTATTGATTCTGTTTCAAGAAAAGCAAAGGAATGAATCCAGGAGAGAAAATAACTCAGTCAACTTTGTCTGCCTACTCCCCTCTTACTACCTTACAAAGAAGTAAACGATTTTGTCCCTTGTTTTGGGGGAAATAGATTTTTCTCTTTCTCTCTAGTCTGTAGAGTACCTTGACTCTGTGACTAGGTTGTCATGGATTCAGCCTTAATGTTAACACTTCCCATCCTGTGACTCGAGAACGGCACTTAACCTCTTACATTTATTTCTTAAAAATTCAAGTAATTAATTTTACTCTTCATAGGATTTTTAAATTTTTTTTATTTTATATTTTTAAAGTCATACCCTTGAGCAGCCTCCACTTTTACCCTTAGTCCAAAGCTCAGGGCCACCTACTTTTGAGGGAGAAAAAGAACAGTAACACACAACAAAACGGACTCCAGAAACTTCCTTTGCCTGATTGTCACCAAGCTGAGACTGCCACCCAGATACCAGCCAGCCAGCCCACTGCCAGAGTGGAGGGAGACTCCAAGGGCCCAGGCCTCAGGCCAGCCCAGCAACTATTGCATCATCAACTCTTTTAAAGTCACACCCTCGAGTGGCCTCCACCTTTCCCCTTAGTCTTAGTGGCTCAAGACCACCTACTTTTGAGGGAGAAACATAATTGTTTTTTATATCTGGAGGAACATTCTTTTACTTTGCACATCACTCTTTGTCAGTGTGCTCTATGAGATAACCTGGCTTTTCTGTGATGCTGAACCTTGTGCCTTGGGGATATCAAATACCATAATAGTTTCCCATTGTGGACAGTGTTTGGTGGAGCCCCTAGTTGTAAAACAGGTTGAGAAGTAGGAGTGTCAGCCACTTCCTAAACTACATGCCTCTGGAAACTCTATGAACTTGGAGAAACAACGATATCTATGGAATGACATTAGGTCTTTTGTTCACAGAGTTGCTATGAGTTGACCTCAGCTCGACAGCCATCAGCAACAACAGCAATAATTTTATATTGGTTTTAAATTGCACTGGGAAAGTTTACTGTCAGAGACTTCGTCAAAATACTGAAGAGCAACAGTGTCAGTCTAGAGACTAAGGTGTGCCTGATCCAGACATGGTCTTCACAACTGCTTGCTATGCATCAGAAAGCTGGACACTGACTAGGAATGATAGAGAACTGATGCTTTTTAACTGTGGTGCTGGAAAAGAGTATTGAATATGGACTGCTAGGAGAACAAACAGGTTCATCCAGGGGAGAGTGAAATCAGGATGCTCTTTTGAGGCAAGGATTCTGAAGCTTTGTCTCACATACTTTGGACATGTTGCAAGGAGGGACCAGTCCTTGGAGCGGGACATCATGCTTGGGAGAATGGAGGGACAGCGCAGGAGAGGAAGACCCTTGATGAGATGGATTGATTCAGTGACTGGGGTAATGGGGGTAGGTGTGTCAGAGACAATGAGATTGGCATAGGATAGAGCATGGTTTAGGGCTATTGTACATAGGGTCGCTATGAGTCGCAGGTGACTCAAAGACACAGAACAACAAAGCAGCATATTGCTTTGCTTGTAAAAGTCATATATATTGTATTACACTCATCTTCATTCACATTGTGTTTAACATAATCATTCCCATGCATGGTTGTTGGTATGTGCCATCTAGTTGGCCTGTGACTTGTAGTGACACTATGTATAGTAGCCCTGAAGCTGCCCTGTCCTGAGCCAATGTCACTGATTGTAACAAACCTAACCCATATCGCAAGTTACTGTATCAGCAGTTCATCTCATCCGGGGTCTTCTCTCCTGTTCATCTTTCTACCCTTCTGAGCATGATGTTCTTCTCCAAGAACTGGTACATTTTTGGCCATGTACCCAAAGTATGTGAGAGGGAGCTTCAAAAGCTTAGCCTCCAAGAAGAAACTTGGTTTCACCCTCTCCAAGACAGACTTATTTGTTTTCTTGGCAGTCCATGATATGTTCACGACTCTTCTCCAACACCTCAACTTGAAGGCATTGATTCTTCCCATGCATTATGTTTTAGAAAATTATTCACCATTGCACTATGGCCATCATTACCCTGTCTTTTCAGGTTCCTGCTGGATCCTTCCCATTCCCTTCGCCCCCTTCCTCTACCCACCAAATTGTGCATCCGTGTGGTTTTGCCTCTACCTATCTTCACCCTTCTGATCCCTCCCCTCCTTCTATTTTTATAATAATGATATTATGCAGTATTTTAAGTGTGGGTTTACACAGCAGTTTAAATTCTTTTCCAGCAATTTCTACATATGTAGTTTAGTGAGAGCGGTCACATCCTCCACACTGCTATTGAGTCTCTTTATTTCTCTTCTGGTTACTTTGCTTCCATAAATCTAGTGTTCCTGCCCCATTATTTCCTTATTAGTATTCTCAGAGTGATAGTTTACAAAGGATTGGTTTTCCTTTTAACTATTCATACGGATTTTGTTTTCTGATATTAACTGCAGTATTTACATTGTACCAGTACTTGTCCGACTTCCTTCCTATAAGTCTCACTTCCTCTCATCTGTCTTTCCTTGTCCTTGCTGTCCACTGAACTTTTTACTTTGACAAATATTGCCATTATTGTGTTGTGTAATTGTTCTAATTAATGAGAACCTCCATGATATCATTGTTGTTCATCTTATTTCTATTATTTGGCTGAAAACAGAACCAAAGGGGTGGGTTTAGTTTCAGGATTAAGGGTTTCCACGGACTATAGTCTTGGGGATTTCACCAGTATTATTTTAGACTAGAAAGCCTGGGAATTTTTATATGTATACATAGAAGCATACTTCTTATCTATTCTTAGAGATAAGATTGCCATCGAGTTGAGCACGATTGATGGCAACCCTATGAACAAAAGGCCTGAAGCCTTTCTATAACTATTGTCATTTACCAAAGTTCATAGAGCTTCCAGAGGCATGTTGTTTAGGAAGTGGATTTCACTCCTGCTTCCAAGTGTGTTCTTATATCTAATGTATTATTTAGCCAAATGTTTGTCTTAGTGTATAGCATGCCTTTTTATGCACAAAAAGATATTTCCAGATGAATATAGTAATGCAAAGTAATGCCCATTTGTAGTTATTTAATTTAAAAATCTCCAAACTGGTTATAGGGGGAAGGAAGCAGACACTAGGCACATATTCTTTGAAGTTGCTATATATATGGCTTTTTTTAAATCCTCATATTTCCAGAAGGCATGCTTCTTTTTTTAATCCTCATATTTCCAGAAGGCAAACATTTCTCCCCATATAGCAGATGAGGAAATTGAGGCCTCAAGAGATTCAGCAACTGGCCTGAGCTCACCTATCTTTGCAAACCTGACCTTTGTGTTGTCTTTGCTAAACTGTGAAGTTAGTACTCTCTCTGGCGCCCAATGGCATCACTCACAGTGTTATAGGAAGCAATTATCGAGGCATGCCCTGGCATTCATTTTTCCTACTTAGGATGAAATGTTGCTGTTTACTTTCTCAGGAAGGAAGATTGAAATCAATGTAACTAGCCTTATTAACTTTTTAAAATAAGGGAGCCTCACAGATGCCAGCGCCTTTCCTGAGAGCGCCAAAGCAAATAGAAAAATCCAATTTGCTTGCCTGTTTCTCTTTTATTTTTTTAAAAACAACTTCTAGAGTTTAAAATTCAAAGCTGTAAATGAAGAGCCGATGAGACAGGGGTAACGAACCAAGCCTGAGACATGAGGATGTATTTATTTACCCAGATCTCCTTTTTATCCCCCCAGGCGGCTGTTCGTTTGATGAGCACTACAGCAACTGTGGTTACAGCGTGGCCCTGGGGACCAACGGGTTCACCTGGGAGCAGATTAACACGTGGGAGAAGCCGATGCTGGACCCAGCGGTGCCCACAGGTACGTGGCCACTGTTTGGCAGTGGGCTGCTTGGCTGTGATGGTGTAATATGGTGTTGTATGGCTCTCTTGTTGTTTTATTGCCGGAGAAGACAATGGAATTAGCAAGCTCTTTATTTATCATCAGAGTCTTTCAAACCAAGGCTAGAAGAAATCTTAGAGATGCCATAGAAGTCATGTGTCACCTTGACCTTGACTTGTCACCTTTAAGCTTCACCCTAACCTTTATTACTTAGTCGCTAGTTGTCATTAAGTCCCTCTGACTCACAATTAACGACCCCATGTGTTCTGAGAACTACTCCCCAGTACATTCAGGGAAGTAACCCTTTTAAAAAAGATCTCCAGGCCTTTATTCTGAGGTGTCTGTTGGTGTGTTTGAACCACTGACCTTTCAGCTAATATTTGAGTGTTTAGCCATTTTGTGCCCACAAGGACTTGACCTACCTTCCTGGGCTTTATACTCTGGGAGCCTGAGAGTAGTGAGGTTTTTAAAGGAAGACTCTCAAGAACTTGAGATCATTTCATTCCTTTTCTGTTTGTGTATGTATGTTTCTGTCTGTCTGTCTGTAACGGTCTCATTAATGTTCTGAATCTACCTTCATCATGAGTGCCAAACCTACCTTAGCCAATGAAGTAGAACACCTACACGTATACTTCTGATGTACAGCTGTGCATATGAATTATACCTCTTGTATAACAGAGACGGTAAACTTGGAGGAGGTATACCCTTTATCTGGTGGGGTGCACCTATTGTATGGAGTCACTGCATAGTGCAAATGGTTTATAGACTCAGTGACTAGCCGAGACCATGGAGGTTCAAGTTCACCCAGAGACATCTTGGAAAACAGGCCTGGTGATCCGCTCGCCCAAGTCACAGCCTTGAAAGCCTGTGGAGCACCTCTGCCCTGCACACATGGGATAGCCAAGCATTGACCTTGACTCAGTTACAACTAGCAACAATTGGTCATTATGATGAAAGAGGAGACTGGGTTTTAGTCTTTTGTTTGAGAGCTTGTTATAATTTGGAGCAAATTCAACAAAGACTAATAACAAAAATGACAGTGTCTGGCAAGGAAAGCCAGAAGCAGTGAGCCTCCATGAGCGTTACAGCCTTCTGTCGGATAAGGACAGTTACACTTATATCTGGTATGACGGTGAAGACAGTTGGTTTTTGGAGAGTAGGCCGTTTTCAGGTTTCACCGTGACCGCGTGTTCCTCCTCTCCTAACACACTGCCATGGAATTTCACCAACTGATTCTGATACTCTTTCTCCATCTCCTGTCACCTCACTCTGGCCATTTAATGTTAGAGTCCCTCAGGCTTGTCTTGACTTCTCCATTGATAATCAACCTCGCCCCTGGCGTCAGCTATCATCTGTGTGCTGGCACCTCTTGCATTTATATCTTCAGCCTTGACAGTTCTTATGACCCTAAGACCTCCCCAGCCTACTGTCCAGCTGCCACCAGCTCTCACACGCCTCTGGGGAAAGCAGCTTTCCAGACTGCCAAAAGCTGGAGGGAAAGAAGGTGCTCGAAGATGTTCAGTTGAGTGTGTGGCTTCCGTGACTTTGAATTTGACCCCAAAGCAAGTGTCACTGGATGGCCTAAATTAGTTCCTATCAATGGCAAGCATATTTGTGTAAATTCCTCTTGGATGTTGACACAAACGTCAGCTAAGAGTAAGCTCTGCTGTTGTACAAAGTTGAGCTTTTCAGATCTGAAATTGTCTTACTTCGCATGGTGAGAGTCACTTATAGCCTGTATCTCACTGTTAGGGGCAATGGCCTTGCCCCTTGTTTCCCCCCCACACCCTATTTTATCATAATTCCACTTTTACTTTCCAAAGTGTCCTGGTTCAGATGCTAAATTCACCCATCTCCTTGGTGATCGCAGGAGTCCAGAGGCCTTGTAGTGAAACATAGCCTCTTTCTTTCTCCTTAACCTAGCGGTAGTTGATATTGGTGAAATCAGTCTGGAAGTGAGCATGTGTGTGTCCGAGTGAACCTGCAGACATATATCATATACTCTTCCCGCGTATCATCAGTCCACATGATGTGGGAATGGTTGCCTGTGTGCACATTGTGGCAGCTCTTAGGATATGAGATGACCACCCTCTAAGTATTAGCAGGAATATGTTGAAAATAATGATTGGGCTCGTGGATCTGAGCTTGGACCAATCAGGGTGGATGGCAGTGTGAAGAAACCCCTAACCTCACAGTGCTCATTGGGGGAGAGCCAAGCTTCTTTGTAGTCTCTGCACTGAACTAGCCTCTGTTCCCCTTTCAGACAGGAATTTTTTTATTTACATCTTCTCAAGTACTTGTTAGGCTTCAGAAACTTGGACGATGACTAAGGATGACAGATGAATTGATGCCTTTGAGTTGTGGTGCTGGAGAAGAGTCCTGAACATACCAGGGACTGCCAAGAAAACAAATAGGTCTGTCTTTGTGAAACCAAGCCTCTCCTTGGAGGCTAGGATTTTAGAGCTCCGCTTCACTTATTTCGGGCACGAGGCCAGAAGAGACCAGTCCTTGGAGAAGGACATTATGCTCGGAAGGGTGGATGGACAGGACAGCACAGGAAAGGGAGACCTAGGATGAGATGGATTGATACAGTAACTGGGGCAATGGGGGTCAGGGTGTCAGAATTAGTGAAACTGACTCAGGACAGGGAAGGATTGAGAGCGGCTGTACATAGGGCCATTATACATCACAGATGACTCAACGGCACATAACAAAAATAACATCCTATGACAGGTTTGGAAGCAGGAGTGGCATCCACTTCCTCAGTGTCTCGGGAAACAATGAACTTTGATAAATGTCGATAGTTGTAGAGGGGCTTCAGGCCTTTTGTTCATAGGATCGCCATGAGTCGTACTTGAAGACAATCAACAACAACCTCTGTGACTGGGACTTGGCAAAAACAAAACAAAACAAAAACCCCAACAAATTTTAAAAACCAGAGAAAATAAAAAAGCATTTGCTATTGGGTCAGTTCTGACTTGTGATGATCTCAGATAGGTCAGAGTAGAACTGTGTCTTATAGGGGTTTTAGTGGCTAAATATTTGAAAGTAGATCACATCTTTTTTTCCCCACAGTGTCCCTGGGTGTACTCGAACCTCCAGCCTTTAGGTCAGTGATGAGCATATTAACCATCTGCACCTCTAGAGGCTCCTTAGGTTTTAGTTTCTTGGTTTGTGTCTGTGTCCAGCCACATCCTCCTCTTTCTCTCTTCCCACTTCTGTTTAATCCCAGGCATTTATTCTTCCTCCCATTTGCTTCCTGATTTTGAGATTCTCTCATTGTCTGGAGTCTTGGTGGACCATGCAGATGGTCAGACTATCACCACTGCCTGGTAACCTGAATGTAGCTGACCATGTGACCCAGGATCAACCATTGGGGGCCCCTGTTTGTGACATTTCACCTGGGAAGGATGAGCCAACAGCCAGAGATTTGTGATTGGCGGTCGTGGTCCAGTGGTAGTGACATTCATACAACACTATGTGTTCTGAAACAAGGGTATTGACTTCACTGCCTCTTAGCTCCTTGATTTTTGTTGCCAAGGTCATGCTGACTAATAGTGACCCATAGGGTAGAGGAAAACTGTCCCATAAGGTTTTCAGAGTTCTAAATCTTTAAATAAGCAGACTGCTTTATTCTTCTTCTGCTTCTGCTCCCTAGTATTGACTTAATTTCTACTTATTTTTTTTTTTCTACTTATTTTTTAAAAATGATTCCAGTTTCTTTTTCATGATGAGTTACTCAACATCATTCCAGAATAGTCTTGTTTTCCTGGACATGGTTGATTTCTCCTGCGTTGTTGGGTTTTTTTTTTTTTTTAAATTTCTCTTGTATTTTAGGATAAGCTTGGAAGGCCATACCCTCAAGCCTGTGTTTTTGCTGGGCCCTTTGGACAGAGTACACTTCTATCTCGATTCCTCTCCACAACATACTGAAGTTTCGCCCTCTCCCCTGCCGTCTTCACACTCATTGCCATGGCCAAGCCCATTGTTTTACCCACAATCCATCGTATCCTCTTCTCTTTGGCTGATTCTCTGCTTTTCCGAACATGATGTCTTTTCTTTAAAATAACATCAGATAAATGACAGAAAGAAATCAAAGAGAGACATCAGAAAGTACCTCAGAATGCCCACATAAAAATCAAGCTCTGTGTCCCCAAACACCCATCTGACGGGATGCCCTTTCATTTACTTTAAACTGCAAACACACTAGTGGAGGAGACTTCTTAGCCTGTGGTCACCCCGATTACTGCCAGTTTGGGTTGTTTGCAGGGATCACAGAGGGCAAGATCATTTAACACAGAACCAGTAATGATTCCAGAGGATGTGGTCACAAATGACATGTAATGATTGTTGTGATAAACAAGTGTCCCAAAGTCACCTTTGAGTAGCAGCAGGGGACCTTTATAGTAATCAGAATAGACATCTATAAGAAAAATGCAAAACCATATCTGTTCCAATAACCGTATGGGTGCTTGCCATGGGATTATGTACTCTATGATGTCATACTTGGATTCAAACATTATTGTACATTAACCATTGTAATTGGAAGGGAAGGTGATGTGGACTGGAAAATGTGGTTATTCGATTTCCAAAGTGGTGCTTCTGATAATGGTAGAGAACTTGAATGACACTGTTCCATGTTGTTGTTGTTGTTAGGTGCCATCTAGTCAGTCACTACCCCACGTAGCAACACTATAGAGAACATGTTAAAATCTTGTCTAATTCTGTGCCATCCTTGTGATCTCTGCAATGTTCTGGCCTATTGCTGCAGTCAGTGTCCATCCATACCTGTTTTTCTTTGAACCCTCTACCTTTCTCAGCTTGATGTCCTTGGCCCAGGGATAGACCCTTCTGACAACATTCCCGAAGTATGTGAGATGCAGTTTCACCATCCTTACCTCTGGGAGCACCCTGATTGTACTTCCTCTAAGACGTATTTGTTCTTCTGCCAGTCCATACGGTGTTCAGTACTCTTCACC